AGGTGCCCCTAGATACTACCATTCTTTAACTCTGTCTAGTAGAGCACATTTCAAGTAGCAATTGTAGCTATCCAGTTTATTAAGCTACGACTACTTCATACTGACTACATACTGACTACTTCAGTATGTATTAACTTGTCACTATGTAATGACATTCGGCTCTTAATCAGGAGATGCAGGTTTTCTTGATTGTGCTTTACAAATTTGGATTGCCATCTTCCTCCAAGCACATAAAGCTGAGGAAGGATTTTATAGGTCCTTAATCCTTTTTAGGGTAATCAACTACTTTGAGTATTTAATGAAAGCCTTGAATCTTCTCTCCCTTAGAAAAATAGTGTGTACATAAACTTGGCATGCTTTCAAGGATTTCCTGATGCTAGACTGCTTGGAATATATTGGCTCCAAGAAAGAAACATTTGTTATAGTTCCAAAGATTTTTTATACCTTTACTTATAGTAGAACAATTGATTTTTCCAAAAAAGTTTAATTGAAATGGTCAAAGGATCCCTGTCAGGTTAGCCTCTCTTTACCACCACCCAGACCTTCTCATACCCCCTTCCACACTATTAGGAAATTACTGACTGAGTCCAGTCCAATGTCACAGGTAGGGAAAGCAGTCTTGGATTTTTTTTTTTTTTTTCACGTTTGTTTATTTTGAGAGAGGGAGAGAGAGAATCCCAAGCAGGCTCCGTGCTGTCAGGGCAGGTCCTGACACGGCGCTCAGTCTCACGAACCGTGAGATTGTGACCTGAGCCAAGATCAAGAGTTAGGAAGCTTAATCGACTGAGCCACCCAGGCAGTCTTGGATTTTAAAAGTGACTTTACTCTGGCTCTCCACGACTTACTAATGACCGATCCAGCGTCAGAATCCAAGTCTTGACTGAAAAGATGTGTGTGTGTGTTGAACTTAATTCATGAGCCGTTATAATGTTACAGTTAAGAATTTAGATTCTTGGGGCGCCTGAGTGGCTCAGTCAGCTGAGCGTCTGATTTCGGCTCAGGTTGTGATCTCATGGTTTGTGGGTTTGAACTCTGCGTCAGGCTCTGTGCTAACAGCTCAGAGCCTGGAGCCTGCTTCGGATTCTGTGTCTCCCTCTCTCTGCCCTTCCTCCGCTCATGGCTTGTGCATGCTCTCTCTCTCTCAAAAATGAATAAACATTGAAAAAAATTAAAAAAATAAAAAGAATGTAGATTCTTACTCCAGACTGTCTGGATTTGGATCTCAGATCTGCTACTTGCTTGTTTTGTAACTTTAGGCAAATTGTGCACGCTTAGTTTCCTCATTTATAAAATAGGTATAATGCCAGTTGGCCAGGTTTATATCCACTATGCTACAGAGTCATTGCTCTGTAAATCTAGTTGTTAAACCAAATCGTGAAAGTTGGAAAACAACTCCTTCCAACGCCAACGTCTCAGTTGGGATAACCATGAGGAAATTCTTATCTTTTAAGAACCAAGCAAACTCCTGAATAGTGGAGTGAATGTGGCTTTTTTTTTTTTTTT